ATCAACGAGTTGGGGGTGAAGCATCCCTAATCTGCTTATCTCCTAAGGCTGTTTGTGAGATCAAAAGCTGTAAAGCCTTGTGTGAATGCAATTCAGCACTAACTCATTGTGTGTCTCCTGCAAGACACATCACTGTAAAACGGGGATATTAATAGTATCACTGTATGTGAGGATCTGAGTCAGTCCATGTGAAGTGTTAAGAAGAGGGTATGGCATCTTGTCATGTACCTGTTAGCTACTGCTGAATGGGCAAAGAATTTCAGAAAGGATGAGTAGTAGTATGTGCTAAGATGGTACGGGCATTGTTACAGAACACCGATTCTCAAGGAAGAGGATGGCCCACAGACCCTTTTTCCTTGCAGTCAGAAATGCCCAGAGGCATTTTAGCGGTCAAGTGCCACATGCCTGGCATTCAGTTACGGAAACTAAGGATCACAGATGCCCTGGGTAGTCTTTCACAGAGAAAGACTTTTCTAGATCCTCAATGATACCATACATGCTTCTCCATCTTCAGCTGTGGATTTGACAAAATGAAAACAAAACAAACATAACACTCCAACGGTATCCAAAGAAATATAGTATACCCGCAAAGGGTCCACAGATAAGAGCCAAGTGAATCGCTGTGAAGAGATACGGTGGCTAAGAGAACCTAGAAAAGGAAGTGTCTTACTCAGGGGCTTGCTTGTAGTTTCAGAGGATGAGTCCATGAATATCATGATAGGGGGCATGGCAGGCAGCAAGCAGGCATGGAACCGGAGCAGCAGCTGAGAGCTTACGTCCTATCCACAAGCATGAGGCAGAGAGCGAATTAACGGGGCGACTAAGTGGATTTTTGACAGCTCAAATCCTGCCCCCAGTGACACACCTCCTATAACAAGACCACACCTCCCAATCCTTCCCCCCAAACAGTTTCGCCAACTGGGGACCAAACATTCAGTCATATGAGCCCATGGGCGCCATTCTCATCCAAACCACCACACTTAACAAAGGAAAATTCTTAAAGTTTGGGTTCTTTCCCAGTGCTCCCAGAAAAACCACCACCTATTTATAAGCCACATCTTCTTGTCCCACCATCCTTAGTTCACCAGAGAAAGGGATTACAAAGTGACTTCCCAAATTAGCTCTGTATTCAGTCACTGCTGGAAGCTCGGTTGATAGAGGAGCCTCTGGGCACAGTTTTTTTTTGTCAAGATCTGTCCTTGTTTTTGTTTGTTACTTTGTTTTTCCTTCAAGTTTCTTGTTTTCCCGGTCCAGTTCCACAGGGACCTTTTCAACAAGTGATATTTCTGTCCACCCTACCTCCATAATTTAACTCATGCAGAAACTCATGTCCTCTCTCTGAACAAAATTATGGATGAGTTAATATGATTGTTGCTTCAGCTACAAAGATGCTGGCACACTTCATTACCATTTTACTAATACAGTGAAGGCAAAGGCTGGGAAGATAGTTCAGTTGGTAAACTGTTTGCCTGTAAGCATGATGCCCCGATGTTGGTTTCCCAGTATCCAGGTAAAAAGCTGTGGATGGCAGAATACTTCCTTATTCGCCCTGATGAGAAGGCAGAGATATGAGGTCCCTGGAACTCACTGGCCAGCCAGTCATGGAAAATCAGTGAGTTCAAGGTTCAGAGATGAGAGCCTGTCTTGAAAACTATGATGAAGAGTCACTGAGAAACAGCACTAATGTTGAACTCTTGCTTATACAAATATAAGTGACACGTGTATGCCACACATATATACGTATGCACAATAGAACCAAACCCAATAAGAATAAAGGTATTCCTTGCACCCAGAGCTGTCCAGGATGTCTAAGCAGGCACGTCCTGCCCAACAGCACAGAGGTTGGGTCACTTTGTAGTCTACGTGAATGATGCCCTTTGAGATTATAGGGCTCCATGTTACATGGCAGCATGTGGGGTATCTGCTTCCTCTCTTTAAAATGAGAAATAATACTGCAAACTTTTCTGATCTTAATTCTAATGAGTACTTGGTTAACATATCAGCTTACTTGCTATGGCTGATTTGCAATTTAAATTAGAACTGGAGCTTGCACTCCTGTTTGGCCATGTGTTCAACTTTGTCCTGTAGAGTTCTGTTCTGTCATGACAGCTTTCTTTTGATAGTCAGATGTGTGGCATATTCAATTTATAAAATCCTGTCCTTCTTCTTTTCCCTCCCATCGGAGTATAATGCACAGTTGCTATTTCCTGCTGAGGATAGCCTAAGTGGGGACACCCCAGGAGCCCAGTGACTTCAACTGGTTCAAGTACATGATTCCCTGGTGAAACTCAGGCTGTCAGCTTTCCCGTTGCAGGTAGATAGGTAGATAAGTAGGTGGAGAGACAGACAGATAGGTAGGTAAATAAATTGATTGATAGAGACATCACATTTCAAGAGCCAACATAATTCCTTCTCTAAAAAAGTAACTCCTTAAGAAGTAACAACTCCAGTAAGAAAGAAGGATGGATCCCCCATTTTGAAGGAGCATTCCATTTAAACCGTACTAATACTGAGAGTACGTGCATGCCTTGCTTTCCCATTGTTGCACAGGATCACCCTGTGGAGTAAAGAGGTCACGCTTTCCTTACTTTTACTTTGCACAAGAAGACACTGAAAAGAAGACAGTGAAACTCTGCTAGGTTATGAGAATTCCGAAAGCCTTGGGGGCAGTTTAAATCAGCCCCTTCCTTCACTGGGAATCCTTGCTTTGCACCAAATGACAAAAGGAAGGATTATGATGTTTGGATTGATGGGATGTGACCACTACCCCCTCAGTGCGGACCACGAAGGACTACAACAAACCCTTGGCTGCAGACAGGAGGCATTGTGTTTGGGGGCTGAGGGTGAAGCAGGTGGTAGAATGCTAATTTAGAACATCCAAGTTGCTAGGCTCCAACTCTAGCTAGGTAAGGGTGGGAAGGAGGGAAGATGTAGTAAAGGCAGGGCATTGTTTTAAGTCATGCCTTCCTTCATGGGCAGGTAGTAAGAGATTATTAGCTGCCAATTACTGAAGTGTTGGGCTAGGGATGCTTAGGAGACCCCAGGGCTCCCCGAGGTGCCCTGACGGCCACACATGATGCAATGGTCTTTAGAATGTCACCAGAGAGCTTTTATTCTATTTTATTTTCATTAGAGAGCTTTTTTACAGAGCTCATTTTCTAGTTATTGTTAAGAACTGCACAACCCTTACACACACACACACACACACACACACTCACACACAAACATATCCCTTTCTCTCTCTCTCTTTTTTTTTTTTAAACTCCAGGAGTCACTTTTTCTTCCCCCTCTGGCAGAAGAGTCATTTGTAACCCCCTTGCCAAGTTACCATTCATTAAACCAAGACAGGAGTAAGGGGTGAGATAAGGCGGAGAGTGTCTAAGTAAAATATAGGCTGTCATTGTCACCTCTTCCTCCATATTGTCAGTAAGGATCACAGACTAAACAGGTGCCCAGCAGCTTAGTCCAAACTTTACTCTCACCAGATCCTACCTGTCCCTTGTCACCCAAACCAACACACACCAAGAATTTTTTTTTTCCCCTGTTAAGTTACGTTAATCATCAAGCCAAACCAAACACCCTTCTACTTTCTGCATTAAATATGAAAACACCACAACTCCTCCAGACAAACAAACAACCAAAAGCATCTTTGTGTTCCAGGCCAGGGGCCAGACCATCACGATGCCATGGAGAGGCATCAGCTGTCATAGGCAAGGAAAGTTAGTTTCCCAGGGTCACGCAGCAGCACCACAGTTGGGTGAGCAGGGAGCTGATTACATCTTAGTTTAAGCGCTTAAGTCAGTCACGTATTAAAAAGTCTAGGTTGGAATACTGTCTCAATAGCTGACTTCATTTACTCACCCTGCATGCATGCCATTGGACACCCAAGCTCTGGAGGTCCCCTCCCCCCATCTAAATAAAAGATCTCCAAACAACTTAATCTATACTTAAGAGGAAGCTGAGAAAAATCAATGAAATTGTCCCACAACGTTAGGGCAGGTGAAAGTGTGCAAAGAGCTACAGAGACAGAGAGAAACCTAGCTCTGGGAAAAGGGAAATTGCAATTCCTTCTTCCCCCGTATTCCCACATTCAGGTAAAATGGCACTTCCTATTCTATGCCCATTGGGTCATTATAGGGTTGAAGACACCAGATCTTCAGAGATAGTTTCTAAGGTTCTTCTCATTCATGGGCAGGGAATACTGTTTACAAATGCAGTCAGTTTCACACTACTCTGGGAGACACAGCAGAAAAAAAAACAACACCTCACCAGCTCTCCACCCAGAGGAACTGGAATCCGGACTGACCGGCTGAACACCCTGCTGGGGAAGTGAACTTGTGCCTAAATCTGCAACATCTTTCCCAGCCTTTGGCACTACTCAAAACCACACAAGCTCACGGACTCTCCAGCCGGAGGCAAGGGAAGCGAAGAAGGATGGTTGAGGTTAGCATCCAAACACTGCCACCTCTCTCTGTTTCTTTACGTTTCAAATCTTCACGGCTGGACTGCCTGGGCTGTGAAAATTTTGCCAAAGCAGAAAAGTACCAGAGCTGCCATGAGTCAGTGGCCTTGCTTTGCAATGTGGGCAGATGCAAATCGGGTCTGCTCTCCATTTCCCGTTCCACTTCCCAGACTCTACACTGCACTTGGATTGTCCGCAGATTAAAAAAAAAAAAAAAAAAAAAAAAAAAAAAAAGCAGCCACATGCACCGATAAGTATAAATAAGGCTTCAAACACCTTACACTAAAGCACCCTATTCAAGCCAAGAAAGCCCAGGCGGCGGTCTGGTCTTTTAGTAAAGCACCCTGGGTTAGAGCCAGGGTGGAGTTGAGTTGCCCCCAGGTGGTAAAAGTTGTCAAAAGTCAATGCCTGCCACTGCCTTTGCAAAACATAGGCACCACGGTTTCCTACAGGACAAGTGGCACAGTGTGAGTTTGCGGGTGAGCAGAAGAGTGGGTGCTTGGTGCTTGGTAAGGCCCGCACAGCGTTAACCCCTTACCTTCCAGCAGTACTTCCTTGCCCGCGCGCTTCAACGCCTGCACTGCCTCATCATGGGTGGCGTCCCGCAGGTCTGCTCCGTTCACGGACAGGATGGCATCACCCACATACAGGGCTTGGGTCTGATCCGCTGCCAGCCCCTTGAAGATCTTGCTGATGAGGATGGGCATCTTGTTCTCCTTGCCCCCTTTGATGCTAATGCCCAGCCCGCCCAGCTCCTGCTTCAGTACCTTCACGCCCCTCTTCTGGTTCGAGATGGACTCGGGCACCTGCTCGGGGAGGTCTGTGAAAGCTGTGCGGACCCCGGCGGGAGAGTCCGGGGGTTGAGTGACACCAGTCCCGGGGTGCCCTGTCCCGGAGCCCCTGCAGAACGAGCCATTGGTGGCAGTCCCTATGCCATTGTACGCCGCAGCGCCCTCCTCGCAGCTCAACACCAGGGCGTCCTCGCTCAAGTTCACCAGAACTTTATGCCAACGATCCCGCACCAAAACTTCCAGCAGTCCGCTCCGTTGCGCCCGGCCGCCTCCCCCGCCAGCCGGCGCAGCCACAGCCGCCGCCGCTACCGCCATCTTTCCAGCATTCTTAAAATGCCATGTGATTGCAAACGGGGGGAAAAGTGGAGAAGGGGTGCGAGTGGGAGGACGCGGGTCACCGGGGCGCGGGAGAAGCGATCGCCCCGCTGCGCGCACTCAGGGCTCCACTTCCCGTGTTCGCGGCCGCGCTGGTCGCCAGTTGGCAGCTGCTGAACTGGTTCCCCCTCGCCTGATCCTTGGGCGGGGTGGAGCAACCTAAAAGAAGAAGGAGAGCCCTCGACAGGGGAGGAGGGAAAAAAGCCAGCTGCCAGTTGCAAAACCCCAAACCAAGAGGAGCTGCCGAGCGAGCGGCCAAGTGCGGTAGGAGGAGGCAAGGGCGGGGACCCGGGGCCCCAGCCGCTCACCTGTTCAGCCACCACCGCAGTGTCACACTCCCACGTCGCGCTGGCTCAGAGCTGGGTTCAGTTCTCTGTTGTGCCTTGCCGCAGCTCAGCTCCCCCAAACCTACTAGGTTCTGTGCTGCTACACCCACCCTGCAGCCAACCCCTTTCTTCTCAACCGTCCTTTCTGGAGGGCTCACCTTTACATGGTGCAAGGTCTGCCTCTGTGTCCCTACTCAATTCTCTGGAGTCCACTTTCCACCGTCCTCCTCTCAGTTCTTGGCTGTTTCTCCTTTTCCCTAGGACCCTGGAGAGGAAGGAAACTGCTGAGAGGTTCTAGGCTGGGCCAGAAGCCAGGGTAAAACTGTCACAGGAACACAGAATGAAGTCTCATTAAGGGACCCCTATCCTATTAGTCAATGCCAGGCCGCTTGAGGGAGTCTGAGGGCAAGGCTTTCAGTACCACCCCTGATTTTTGACAATGGGTCCTCATCTCCAGGACAAACATCTAACTCAATCTCCTTTTTGTGCTTTACGGCAAGCCCTGTCAACCCTTGTTGTAGCCCAAATGCTCCTGGAGGGTTCCTCTTTTCTTTCTCAGATTCCATGTAGGAAGTACCCTCTTTTTAAAAAAATCCTCAGGGTGGGTTCCCTGAAAACTGCTTGCTTGGCCCTTAAGTTGTACATTTCCAAGGTGAGAGCCTTGTAATTCTTGGTTCTCTTCCTAGATCAACCAGGAAATGTCACCATAGCTGTAACTCAAGCCATATCTGGACAGCCTACATTTCTTGCTATGGAACTTAAGCTCCCCCCCCCCCCCCCCGCCACCCTAAGCGGATGACACAGATCATTTAAGGAGTGTTAACTTGTTTTGTTTTGTTTTTGTTTTTTTTTTTTTTCTATTTGCCTTTCAGATGCTTTCTCTCCTTTCTCTGGAAAACAAAATGAAATTGTAAGTCTGTGAAGGGGGTCTTTGGGAGCACGATGTCATCACCACACTGGTGACTATCAGGGGCAAACATGTCCAGTCCTTTCCAGAATGACACTTAACAAGTCACAGGATAAAAACTCATGGGAATCCTTATGGAGTCCCAGGCAGGATCACAGAACTCAGGAAAACACTCAGGAGACTTTGTTGAGAAAGTGAAGTCTCTGCACGCACAGATATCCCTTAAACTGATACTTTCAACTCTTGCTCCTATAAGTTTTAACCTGCCATGTTCCAAATCACTGTATGTTTGCATGCAAACCTGTCCACTACAGGGACAGTAGGGGCTCTTTAGTCCTTCCTGATGGAGTGGGCCAAACAGGGAGCTAGCATAGCTTGTACCATGGCTAGCAGAGTGGCGGGGGGGGGGGGGGGGTCTGGCCTTTTGCTTTAGAGGCTGAGGTCGTGACCACCAAGTGCTTGCTTTCTAAATGGAAAAACAAAAACAAAAGAACAAAACTAAAATATTAAGGTTGAGCCAGGCACCAGAATGCCAGTGTGACGATGGAGAAATCAAAACCGACCTGTTCCTAGACCAGAAATCCTCCAGCCAGCACACCAGTATACTAGGGCCTTGACTCTGTTACCAAGCAGTGGAGGAATGCCAGACACACCCACAAAGTAATTGACCTATTATTACTCATTAGAAATGGCAGGCTGTGGGATGGACTCTTGTGTGAATCTCTGTGCTAAGCACATTTCCGTCCGTGTGAGCATACCTATATGGGATGAAAATACCTTCCTGGTTTAAAGTTGCATCAGAATGGAAGGCGACAAATGTTGGATAGCAGGAGCCCTGAGGCATGCATGTGGCTTTGCTAGTGAGATTGTAATTACAGTCCCTGTCCTAAGTACTTTGCACATATTAACCCAATCCTCTGGGCAATATTCGAGGGCCATTTCTGTAATGATCACTTCCATTTACAGATGAAGAAGTGGAGGCCCAAGTTCAGTAACCTTCCTGGCTCATGGAATTAGTAGATGGCAGGCAGGACTTGAAACTTCGCCATTGTCTTAACCACTGTTAAACACACAGGCTAGCAGCTATAGCCCCAGTGGAACACAGAGTCCATTCTTTTCCACCAGGGTGGCCCTGCCCTTCACTAGGAGATAGGACAAGCATTTCCTTCTGGCCTTTCTTCACGAGCATAGACAGAACCCTACCCTCCACTAACTGATGCTTTTTGTTTGTTTGTTTTTAGACATGTTTTTGAAAGGGGCGACTATCTGTGGTCTTGCTAGTAGAGAAGCCCGACTTTATCACTCAGACAGTGCCACATATCTGACTTCTTATCACAGCTGACTCTCAAAGGTAAATCTTACCCACCTTGGTATTGTTTAGTGAGAAGTAGAATATCACAATATTCACAACGGGGACCGAAAATCCCCTCCCCGATGATGCCCCTCTGTTAGTTTTCTATCATTGTAGTAAACACCTATGACAATCAGCTTCTTAAAAGCCAAGACTTATTCTGGCTCGAGGTTCTGGCTCCGTTGATTCGAGTTTTCGGAGAGGCTGGACATATGAACCAAAGATGTTCACCTCATGGCCAGTGAGCAAAGAGCAGAAAGAAAGGTCTGAGGCTCAATGTCCCCTTGAGGACTAGACAGGATGGCTTGAAGACCTCTCAATACAGTGAGTGGCCTGTAAAGGTCCTACCACCTTCCAGTGGGAAGATTGTTGGAACCAAGGCTTTAAAAGATAAGACCTTTCAGATCTCAGTCATAGGTCATGCATTTTAAAAACAGTGGCTACTGGAAAGGACAGGAGTGACTCCATCTTAGTCACCTTTATAGGAGTGGCATTTGGAGCACGAGGCTACAGAGTGAGTTTGTAGCAAAGTCAAGTCTAATTATTGATCATTAAGGTCAATATTCTTCAAATGGTACCTAAAGCCAGCCTCCGCCCCGAAACACTATGCTTTTTCTTGTTCTGTTTTTGGTTTCTCCCCCACACTCTGACTTCCTAAAGTGTGATTTCTCTATTCCCATTCCCCAGAGATGTGCATTTATCTAGAGGACAAGTGCTTGTAGAATTGTGAGAGTAAGTCCCAAGGATGCAAGACAGTGCAGCAGCATGTGGTCAATACACGGAGGTCATCTGTTGACTGCACAGTGTTTTAGTGCGCCTACACTGTGCCAGCTGCTGTTATGGTGCAGGGTTATAGGAAGAATGAAACTGGCAGAGGCCTGCCTGGGGAAGCTTTTATCATCATAGCGAGTGGCCGACTGGGAGTCGGGACAGACTCTAAACATAAATCCCACATAGAGGCAAATGCTATGAAGTGACGGTGGGGTGGAAGCAAGATGGGACAGGGAAGAGTGAGTGGGGCAAAGGTTGATGGAGAGGAGGCGGAGGTCATCGCTGAGGTCCTTTGGGGGAAGGTGAGATTTGGATATGGAGCAGGTTGCTGTGGTGCTGTGAGTGAATGAGCATGAAAGCAGCTAGCCTCCAGGTCCCAAGTCTCAGGGCTGGGTTAGACATAGAACATGGAAACAGGAGGGGTGTGAGGAAGGGAATGAGGAAAGGGGAGTCTTGCAGAGATTCAAAGGAGGTTGCCAGGGAGAAGCAAAGGGTAGTGTAGGACGAGAGAGAGAGAGAGAGAGAGAGAGAGAGAGAGAGAGAGAGAGAGAAAGCGCACCAGGCTTGTCTAGTTCTAGTGACCAAAAGGTGGGCAGTATGTCTGTGACAGCTCAAAGGAGAGAGACACAAGAGAGGAGTAGATGGACCAGATTCTGAGGTAGGACCAAGGAGGACTGCAGTGTAGACCACCCTCTTGGTCATTTTTGAACATCAAGAATCATATGTTTTTGACAGGGGCAGCAATGCTGATTTCAAATGTTGTATCACATAACACATAAATATCTACTTGTTAGAAAACACGTGCCAGTAACTGGAATCGGAAAAACACTGTACATCTGACACCATTTTCTAAAGAATATCACTAAGCATCTTTAGGGGTTTTATTTCTTTCTTTGTTTTTTTATTCTTGTGTATGTGTTTCCCAACGAACAAACAGTAGATAGAGGGTAGACAGCGAAAGCACAGCAATTGCTCACTCTGTGATTTATGAGGTCATATTAGGGAGAAGAGAGAAAGAGGAACAGAGGTTTCAAACTGCATCCCCGCCGCAAAATAAGCCAGCCTGGCAATAAACACTGTGCTCCTGCTTTTGTGAAGATGTAAGGCAGGTGCTGGAGGCAAGCACACCCAGGGACGCACAGATGATCAAGACAGGAAGACATATACGCACAGTACATGGGGAGAACAGGTTGCTGTGATGCTGAGAGTGAATTAGTGTGAAAACAGCTGGCTTCCAAATTCCAGTTCTCGGTCTGGGCTAGTGACGCACACTTCAAAGATGAAGTATGAAGACAGCAGGGGTTTGAGGAAAGCAATGGTGCACGAACAGGAGGCAGGGCAGTTTCTCCTCTGGCGTGTCCCAGTTGGCTAATAGGTCCACCATCATTTAAAAAGCATCTGGAGACATCCTTGCATATGCCTGCATACACCTGGACAGGTCCTGGGTAAACTAGAAAGTCCACTACCCAGACCCTCAGCAAACCAGTCAATCAAGTGAGACCTATACGATTGCTCCTAGTGTTTATGTATTTTCCCAGGGCAACAAGGCATAATTATAAACCACCTTATTATTCATCTGTTTTTCTCTTACTGAATCGTGGTATGGCTCTCTTGTCTGTAATAACCAATAATTAAAACAAACTTTGTACTAATATCATAATTTGTGTTAACATTTTAATGGAACCCACCTTTCTTAATAGTTGTATCTTTTATCTTTTGGCAAACTTGTAGAACGGTACATTAGATTTCATTTTAAAGACCATTGAACACACTGACAAAATGGTGGATGTATAAAACCCCAACAGGTATCATATTCCAACACATACTAGAAACTTCAACAGTGTGGTCATGTAAATACAAGAGGATCAGGAAGAGTAAGGAAGTCATGTCCTCCCAGGCTCATCTTTA